ATGCCACAGGCAGGGGACAGGGCCGTAGCAAACCCAATTAATTCTGGGGACTTTCTTATAACCTGGAGAGTAACACTTGAAGCTGTGAATGTTCCTTGTACAGTGTTAATGTGCTGCCATCACATTAAAATATTTCATTCCAACTAAAAAAAAATATATTAATAGTAATAAAAAAAGAAAAGAAAAGAAAAAAAAGATCCGCACGTCACCCACCTTCCAGTGGTCTAAGACTCTGAAAGCAACTCAAACACGCCCAGAAGAGCATCCCCTAGGTAAACAAGCTTGGCCACTATGCCATCATCGAGTTTCCCCCGACCACTCAGTCAGTCATGAAGAAGATAGAAGATAACAACACGCTTGTATTACTGTGGATGTCAAGACCAACAAGCACCAGATCAAACAAGCTGTAAAGACGCTCTGTTACACTGCTGTGTCTAAGGTCAACACCTCATTAGGCCCAATGGAGAGAAGAAGGCCTATTTCCGAATTGCTCCTGATGCTCTGGATGCTACCAACAAAGTTGGGATAATCTAAAACTGAGTCCAGCTGGCCAATTCTAAATCTCTCTCTTTCACACACACACACACACACACACACACACACACACACACACACGAGACCTTTGCTGAAAGCAAGATCAAAGGTGCTCAGAATGATAGAAGTATCTCATTGATATTTAATCTAGAACTCCATTATGTCCTTTCCACCAGTCTGGACATCACAGAGTTAAACCTGGACTGAGCAGTTTGATAGATTCTGTGATTAATTCCTTTTATAAAGAGTTGAGGGGATACCCTCCCTCCCCTGGTTAATGTTAAAAAGGACTTCTGAATTGCCATTCATACTCCTACCTTCTCAAGGCCCTCAAAAGTTATCTCAATGTAAACCCCTTCAATTTAGGTGGAAAGGCATTCATTCTCTTTGATCACCAACTATGTGTGACAATCTAGAAGATTCTACCCTGAGGAAGACATTACCTCTGTTCACAACAGAGGACTCCTTTTATAAACTATGACATCACTTATGGTGCCTCAATATTTTGACATCTGAGTACATTCTTTCTCTTGTTTCCACAGTTGACATCTACTCTCTCTAATGAAACCGTAGAAAAAGAACCCCATTTCTTATCTAGCCTACAAAACTTCCTGCAGAGTGACAATGTTGTTGTTGTTATGTGCCGTCGAGTCGCTTGCGACTCATAGCGACCCTATGTACAACAGCCCTAAACCCTGCTCTATCCTGTGCCAATCTCATTGCCTCCGACACATCCATCCCCATTACCCCAGTCACCGAATCAATCCACCTCATAGAGGGTCTTCCCATCCTGCGCTGTCCCTCTACTCTACCCAGCATGATGTCCCTCTCCAAAGACCTGTCTCTCCTTGCAACATGTCCAAAGTATGTCAGACAAAGCCCCAGAATCTTTGCCTCCAAGGAGTAGCCTGGTTTAACGCTCTCTAGGATAAATCTGTTTGTTTTCTTGGTACATTCAATACTCTTCTCCAGCACCACAGCTCAAAGGCATCAATTCTCCTTCTATCCTCCCTAGTCATTGTCCAACTCTCTGATGCATAACAAGTGATTGCAAAGACCATGGCCTGTATCAGACTTACCTTAGTCTCCAGAGTGACATCATTGCTCTTCAGTACCCTGGAGAGGTCCCTAACAGCAGACTTTCCCATCGCAATACATTTTTTTATTTCCTGGCTACTGGTGCCAAGAGTGTTGACCATGGAGCCAAGCAGACTAAAGTTGTTAATAATTTCAGTGCCTCAGTAAAAACCTGAATTCAGCAAACATTTACCAAGCCTGGAGCCTGAATCCCCTGCCCAGGGACTAACTGCTGAGGATAAAGCTTCTGTCCCAAATCTTGCTAAGCTGGTGAACAGGGCAACACCAGCTTTTTTTTGCAACCTCTTAACCCCATTGTCAAAAGCCTAGAGCAGAAGTAACGTTAGGTGGCCTACTTCCACTCCTCAGTCACTACTGTGCAAACTGAAACCTTTATCTCACTAGTCCTGGGAGAGAAAAAATGAAGCAGAGGAAGATACCTCCTAAAGCCAGTTTCATGCACTTCTTATACAACCTCCAGGTGGTGACTATCACAGAAGTAGACACACTCATCTCACTCCATCGAGTTTTCTGAGGCTATAAATCGCACAAAAGGAGATTGCTCAGCTTTCTACTTGAGAGCTACTGGTGGATTCTAAATGCCAGAGAGGCAGGGTCTTTGGGTCTTTATGGGCTGGCCATCAGAGCTCCCTAGCAGACCCATATCCTCTAACAATCCCCCAAGTGAGATTTAGCAACACCTCCATTCGAAAGGCTTTGTTTTGCTTGGTATTGTGGAAACACAAAGGGAAATCAAACAAGTTTCCTGGCCTCAAGAATGTTGTTGTTGTTAGGTGTCCTCCAGTTGAGTACTATCCATAGCAACTCTATAAACAATAGATCTGAAACCTGGCCTATCCTGTGCAATCCTCACCCTTCCTGACAAACTAGAGCCCATTGCAGCAGTCTCTGTGTCAATCCACCTGGTTAAGGGTCTTCCTTTCTTTCCTGGACCCTTCACCTTTCCAAGCATAGATGTTCCTTTCCAAGGAATAGCCTTTCAAGTATGTGAGACAAACTTCAACATCTTTGCCTTCAAGGCAAACGCTGGTTACGGTTTCTTCAAGACATATTTGTTTGTTCTTTAGACAATCCATGGATTATTCAGTATTTTTATCCAACACCACAGCTCAAAGGCATCCATTCTTCTGCCATCCAGCTCTCAGATGTACAACAACTGACTGGAAAGAACACAGCCTGAATCAGATGCACCTTAGTCCTCAAACTGACATTAGTGCTCCTCAATAATTCAGAGCGGTCCCTGACTGCAGACTTCCAAGGGGCAAATCAGACTATTCTCAACTTCAACACAAGGTAGAATGCTCCAAGTGTTGCACTGTTGGCATATGAACACTGTGGGAGAAGAACTAGAAGAGAGATTAATTTCAACTAATGACAATTCATAACCTGAAGTTTTGGGATAGACATTGGAGGATGGGTAATGCAATCTAAGAGCTGTAACCAAAAGGATTTACAAGCATTATCTCTTTTGACAGATAGAGAGAGATCCCTTGGCCCAGTGGACAGAAAGCGACGCTACCAAGCATAAGGTGGGTGACTTAATCCACGGTCCTCAGGCCTGTCTTTCATTATTTTTGTTCAGACATTCCTCTAGGTCGTATAGCCCTGGTGTACAAGCTGCCGTACAGCAGCAACTTGCTTGCTGTGAGGTTGAACACTGTGACACTGATGTGTCAAATGTGTTAATGGTTGGTTACCCAATGAGGACAGTGTGGGCTGGAGCTCCCCGATTAAAACAAGCTTGGAAGGAGGAGTGGCATCCACTTCCTTAATAGCTTGCCTCCGGAAACCCTATGAACCTGAAGAAAGGATAAAAGACACCCAAGCATTGAGGACTCTCCTTCATAGGGTCACTATGAGTCGCCTGTGACTTGAGGGCACTTAGCATCCACAACACACCTTTTTTGACTACCAAATGAGACTGGATTGTGGAGGAGGTGCATTTTACAATGCAGCAACTGAGGTGTAAGTCAGAGTACCCACAGAGAAAGAGAATGATCTGTTCAATCTCTTTCTTTCATTTCTGTCAAGTCAGAACTGACCTACAGTTGTCCCATCCAGTGGGTTCTCAGAGGTTGTGAATCACATGGGATGAGATTGCCTATCTTTCTCCTCCAGAGTAGCTGGTGGATTTAGCCACCTGCCTTTGAGCTGGCAGTGAACTTCCTATCCAGTAGGCCACCAGAGTTCCCAGTCTAACACTTAGGTTGGTAAATGGTTAAAGGGATAATTTAAAGTCACCCAGGGTAACCCCAAAGCTGCTGCTCTTAAAACACAAACCAAATAACCAAGTCTGTTGCCATCTAGTCAATTCCAACTTTTGGTGAACTCATGTGGTATGGAGAGGAACTACACCTTAAGGTTTTCTGATCTGTAATCTCAGGCAGATCTGAATCTTTAGGTTGATGGCTAATCACCACCCAGGGAACTTTTGGTTTCGTAATTCATTTAAGGAGCAAAAGAGACTGTGCGAGAATGCCTGGGGCCTCTCATGGACACAGGGAGACATCTATAAGGCTGGCACAGGGCCTGGTGGGAGAATGGGAAGCTGTTGGTCCCAATGACTGCTGTGGAGTCTACATTTCAGACTCTGGTCTTCACATATCTTTCATCTGACCTTACTGAGTCCTTACTGAGTTCATGTCCTATCTGCTCCTTGTTACAGATAAGGAAACTAACATACTTAAAGGTTAAGAAACTCATTCAAGGTCATACAACAGGCTGGGATCTGAATGGAAGGCAAGCAGCTCTTGAATTCACTGTTACTTATGTGAGTGAAAATTCTTTGCAAGCTGCCTGGTGCCTTGCAGCTGCCCATTTCCTTTACCCCCAGTCCCCATAGCTAACCCCTCACACCCATTCTTCCAAGGCCACTGGGTTACCAGCAGCCACTCCAGGACCAGAAAACTCCAGCTCCCAGAAAGCTTTGTGTTCCTCCTCCCCTCCTCCGCAACCCTTTCTCGCATAAAGAACTTCGGAGCAGCAAGCCCCGCCCTGCGCGGCCCCGCCTACGGGCGCTGGCCAGGGAGGCCGTGGGCGTGTTCCCGGCGGCTGCTCTCGCGGCTCGGGGCGGGGCTTGGTTGAGGCGCGGGGCGGTGCACGGGCGGTCGGGCTCCGCGCGCAGGTGACTCCTCCTCCGCGCTCTCGTCCCGGCTGAGCCTGGCTCGGAGCCGCTGCGGTGGGAACGCCTTTGTGCCCGGCTCGCGGAGTCTGCGACGACCGCTGTGCGCCCCGCTCCATCGTGGGGTTCGCTTTCTCTTCCGGGCAGGTGTCGGTGGAGCACGGAGTCCGGTCGTGCCTACCCCGCGGCCGCGGAGCCAGGACCCGCTGGCGCCGAGCAGGGGGCGTCCCCAGGCGCGCGGCGGGAGATGAAGTACCTGAAGCCCTGGTGGTCGGACGGCGGGGGCCTCCTGCACCTGATCGTCCTTCTGAGCTTGGCGGAGTTGCGAGTGGACCTGGACCTGCTGCTCCCGTCGCCAGCTCTGCTCCGGGATGATCTGCCCCTGGGCTGCCCGGCGAGCTCCGCCTACGCGCTCGGTCCCTTCTCGACCTCCAGAGGCTGGGGGGGCTCGGGCCAGCTGCACCCCAAGGCCCGAGAGTCAGACCCCACGGCGCTGCTTGAGGGCCACCTGCTCAGGGAGGTGTGCGCGCTTGGGGTCCCTTTCATACCCCGTACCCGAGTGGATGCGTGGCTAGTACACAGCGTGGCAGCCGGGGACGCCGACGGGGCGCACGGGCTCCTCGGCGCTGCTGCCGCCGCCTCGTCGGCAGGAGTTGGCGCCAGTGTGGACGACGGCAGCCAGGCGGCCCCAGGGGGCGGCGGGGACCCGCGTGAGGCTCTCACTGACCCCTTGATCGCTGGGGACGAAGAGAAGGCACCAGCAGAACCGACGGCTGAAGTACCAGACGCTGGGGGACGCGCGAGCGAGGTAACCGGATCGGGGACGCGGCGTCTTCCCCTGCGCTACTAGATGAACGGGCCAGGAGCCCTAGGATTGAGGGGGACCTAGGCAGGGCTACATCCGCGTTCGCCTTTCATGGTTAGGTCCTTGTTTGGCTACGGTCTCGGACTATTAATGTTCTGTTGGTGAATCTGGAGACAGTTTTTGGGTTCTTGAAAAAAAGAGGGTGAAACCATTCATTCGCTTACAGAGAAAACTTTGTGTTTTGACGACTCTGGAGGGTAGTTGGAAGTGGGGACGGGAAAGGGTGGTGGGATTTGCCCTCCGCCCTCATTCAGTACCTATATATACTTGAGATGTCCCTGGCCTTGTGCCCAAACTTGAATACACGTTGCTTTTGAAATCCATGTGCCTGAGATAGCTATGACCATGGCCCTGTTTTAATCCAAATACTGTTCATTTTGCCACTTCCTTGGATTTAGGCACTTTGGTCAGTGCCCATTCCCAGGCCAGCTGACAAATGGTGTGGCTCTGATCTAACCAGCCCCCTGCGCCTCCCTCCTGGCTCTTGTGCAACCCCTTATTAGCATAAAGAAAGAGGTACTTTTACAGTCACCTGGTGACTAACAAGTTCCCTTTGATTTATGTGTTCAATGTGTCATTTACCTTCCTTACTAAACAGAGTTGTCCAGAATTTTTTGACTGAAGTATCTGGTGTTCCCAATGACCCAAACGAAGCAAAGGATATTTACACTAATGCTGGCCACAAAATTACCCACCTTATCCAAAGTTCCTTCTAAAGAGTCTGTTGAATTCTTTCTTGGCTCAAACCTTAGTGTTAGCAATTGGTATTGATCAGCAAGTACTCCATAGCTTTTGTTTTTGTAGAGTGCAGTCTTATGCAAAACGGGGATTGGGGCAAACCAGGTTTGCTCACTGCTCCTCAGAATTGCCCTGTTTGTGTAGGCAGTTGCCAGACGGACTCCTCCACGCTGAAGGGTCACTGTGTCGAAGTGCTCCGTGATTTACTGTTAAGGCTGATGGGACCCTTTTCTCTTCCTGGGGCTGGAGCTAATGGGGAGATGATACTGGTAGTTTAGACGGGTTTCTGGCAGTTCAGAACAAACTGCAAAAGGCGCTTTTCCCACTCACTCAGCTCCAACTCCAAGAGGTCTGTCCCTCCAGAGCCTGCTAGTGAATTGCTGTTGTTAAGCCCTGTCTGTCAGCTTAACAACTCACAGGGATCCCATAAACACGGGCCTGAGCCTTGCCATGTTGAGCACTATCACCATGACCTCTGTCATGACAAAGCCCACTGTGGTACAGTCCTTGTGTGAATCTATCTCTCTGAGAGGCTTCCCCTCCTTCACTGACATGTTTACCTTTCCCAGCATGACGTTTCTCTCCAAGGACTTGTTTCTCTTGAAAATATGTCCAATGTAAGTGAGATAAAGTTTCACCATCCTTGCTTCTAAGGAACATTCTGGTTGTCCTTCATTCAGTTTGCTTGTTTGTTCTTTTTGATATCTATAGTATATTCAATGCTCTTCACCAATACCACAATTCAAAGCATATGTACATTTTTTTCCATGCCTGGTTCTGTATTGTATCAGGTGGAAATCTAGTGCTTGGTACTGGATCAAATGGCACCTTGTCCCTATCTTGGCTGAATGTCATTAGCTTATAAATGCACAAGAGTGTGGTAGGATAGGAGGGAGGCTTTCTGAGGACTTCCTTCAGCATCATCTTGTGGGTTGGGTACCTTTTAGAGAGGTAGGCCTGTCTTGGAAGAAGGCCAGGGACTTCACACCCAGCCAGACCTCTTTAGTGGCCTTGAGTCTAGTTTTCTGAGGTGTCATTCATGTAAGGCCATTCTCCCTAGCTGGCTTGTGTGGGCCTGCAGGACCATATTACTAATTAGCTGTTTCCTGAGCTGGGATAGTTCATTCATTCAGTCAAAGACAGATAAGAGGTCAAGGACCTTAGAGTTTTCAAACCTAGTTCACCTTTGTCATTAACACCTTTTATACCAGTGTTGTGACATACACAACCAGGTGTCCTTAGATCCAATTTGTTCTTAAGGAAATTGGAGGACTTGATTAAACCCACATGGATAATCCGTGCCAAAGTGGCACTGGAACCTGAGTAGACGCCCAGCCTGATGCATTAATTAAGTACCTGATGCCTCAGTCAACACTCTTGGCACCAGCAGTCTGGAAATCAAAAGATGAATTGCACTGGGAAAATCTGTTGTCAGGGCCCTCTCCAGAGTATTGAGAGCAATGATGTCATTCTAGAAACTAAAGTGTGCCTGATCCAGGCCATGGTCTTCTGATGCTATGCATCTGAGAGCTTGACAATGACTAAGGATGACTGAAGAACTGATGACTTTGAGTTGTGGTTCTGGATAAGAGTATTGAACATACCAAAACAACTATGAGATACCATCTCACCCCAGTCAGAATAGCAAAATTTAATAGAACAGCAAGCAAAAAATGCTGGCGAGGTTGTGGAGAACCTGGAACCCTTATTCACTGTTGGTGGGAGTGTAAAATGGTGCAACTACTGTGGAAAGCGGTGTGGCGCTTTCTCAAAAAGTTGCAAATAGAGATATCATTTGACCCAGCAATTCCACTATTGGGAATATACCCCAAAGAGACCATAACTGACATCTAAACAGATATATGCACACCCATGTTTGTCACAGCTTTGTTCACAATAGCAAGGAGTTGGAAACAACCTAAATGCCCATCAATAAATAGATGGATAGAGCAGCTGTGGTATATTCACACAATGGAATACTATGCTGCATTGAAAAACAAGGAACTCATGCAATATTATTAAAAATGGGTGACTCTGGAGGACATAATGCTGGGTGAAGTATCTCAGTTACAAAAGGACAAATACTGCATAGTGCCACTGTTATAAAGCAGGACTGACCTCGGGGTTGAGGGAGACTGAGAAAGATGGGTTCAGTAATGTATACTGCATTGAAACAGATGAGGGAGAAAACTGTTTAAAAGGGATATGTTATTAGGTATTTTTGTCATGACAGGAGTCCAGAGCGAAGGCTGCATAGTGGAGTGGACCTGGGGGGGAGGGTTTGTGAAACAATGAAAGAATTTTTCTTTTACTTTTCCAAGAGGGCAGTGTACTAGTTGGGAGGGTTGGAAGGGGAGAAAAGTGCAACAATGAGTGAATGGAAAGTTAAAAAAAAAAAAGAGTGTTGAACATACCTGGACCACCAAAAGAACAAATAGGTCTGTCTTGGAGAGGGTGAAACCAAATTTCTCCTTGGAGGCTAGGATTTTGAAGCTCTGTCTCACATATTTTGGACACATGGCCAAGAGGGACCAGTCCTTGGAGAAGGACATCATGCTCAGAAGGGTAGAGGGACAGCAAAGAAGAGGAAGGCCTCGGATGAGATGGATTAACACAGTAACAAAGTAATGGGGCTTGGTGTGTCAGAGTCAGTGAGACTGGCTCAGGACAGGCTTCAGAGCTGCTGTACACAGGGTCACTGTGAGTTGCAGGTGACTTGAGAGTACATAACAAAAACACTGTACTTGGGTTACTCTAGACAACCAGTTAGCATAGGGTGAGAATGTGACACACACATCGCCATCCTAGCAATCTTCTGGCCCCAGGACTACTGTATTCCAATGCTGGATTTATGCTTTTGTGCCCTCCCCCCTCCCTTCATTGTGAACATAAAATGTATCATTTTAACCATTCTTAAGTGTACATTCAGTGCCATTAATTATACAACCATCAACTCAAAAGCACTAACTTCCCACTCATCAACTCCCCTCTTGACTCTATATTTTGTCTGTGTCATTTGCCTATTCCAGTTTTTATATAAGTAGGATCATTCCATATTTGCCTTTTCCTGTCTAACTTCTTTCACTTAGGGACCTTTGGTGGTGTAGTCTGTAGGGAGTTGTGCTGCTAACACAAAGGATCTGCCTCTAGCGGTTCAGATCCACCAGTCACTCCTCAGCAGAAAGATGGGCAGTCAATCTCCCATGCTATTTACAGCCTCCAAAACCTGCTGGAGAATCAGCTTCTAAGTCAGCTCCAACAGCAGCAGTGAAAGTGAGTTGGTACTCTATTTGCTGAGCATGGTATTTTTGATGTTCATCCACAGATCTTCATTCCTTTTTACAGCTGAATAATATTTCGTTGTGCATATATGCTGCATTGTATTTATCCATTCATATTTTGATGGCCATTTTGGTTTTTTCCAGTGCGTTGACTTAAAAGCAGATGGTACTATTCATAAGGGTAAAGTTTCATTTTGATACCACAGCTCTGAGAGAAAATGGACTGAGAAAAATAGTCTTTGCAGTCAGCCAGACTGGAGTAGAGAGCACCACTTGAATGGGTCTTTAATTACTCCAGGGTCTTTACATGTCAAGTGGCAAAGTAATGCTTACTTGAGAGGGGTATTGTGCTGATCAGATGGCAGCAATATGAGTGAAGTGCCAACACTCTGCCTCTTACTTACTCTAAAGTATAATCATGTATTAATTGAAAAGACTTAACACAGTATTTGATTGCTCTGTGATTTAGCATTTTGCAAATTGAAGAAATACTTTCTTATGCAAGAGGAAACCACTTTCTGGAAATGAAGGTTTCACAGAGGTATAAATAACTTTTAAAGTTATTTAAATCAGGATTGTTTACTCAGGATTGGAGAAAAACTTATCAACAACCTGTGTTATGCAGATGACACAGCCTTGCTTGGTGAAACTGAGGAGGACCTGAAGCCTTTGCTACAGAAGGTAAAGGACTATTGTCTTTAACGTGGATTTAAGCTCAACATAAAAAAAAACCCCAAAGATTCTCACCACTGGACCAATTGGCAGCACCATGATAGATGGACAAGAGATTGAGGTTCTTAAAAATTTCAGCTTGCTCAGTTCCACAATTTCTTGGCACCAGCAGTGAGGAAATCTAAAGGCAAATTGCATTAGAAAAAATTTGGTGTTAGGGACCTCTCCAGAATGCTAAAGAGTAGTGATGTC